ATCATTAAATATATGAGAATAACAACAATTTGATCATAAATAATAAATGACATTTTTTCTCAATAACATTTATTAACATTGATGGACAATATTATATTTTGTGCACATAATTAAATACACGAGAATAAAAACAATTTGGTCATAAATAAATAATGACACTTTTTTCTTCTCAATGACATTAACCAACATTGGAATGCAAAAAATGTGAAGGGTGTTGCCAAATGAATTCATACTTCTTTAGAATTTGTCATGTTAAATTCATCAAGCACATTAACTTGTCTTGATCAAATTTCAAATTCTAGACTATGTATATTCATTCATAAAATATATTTGAACCTATTCAAATTTCAAATGAAAACTTAAATTTTTTCTTTGATCTATCAACGTAAAAATGATTTGTTGCCAAAATAAACATGTGCAATGTTAGAATGATGAGATTGAAGATTGAATCATTCATTTTTTTTACATTAACATATGGATCAAACATATTTTGTGAAAATCTTTGTGCTTTCATGAAATTAAAAAATCTTGCATTGCAATGTCTAAGAGCTTATTTTAATCTATTTTATAATTAAAAAAATTTATAAATCAATTTTTAGTAATATTTTTTCAAAGCGAATTAGTTGTTTCATGTAGATTTTTTCTCTAAAGATTCATAGCATAATGTTGTATCTAATTTTACATAATCTATTACGGAGATTTACAAAGACATACAAGTATCTACGGTTTACTTTTCTACAAGTGAGAATACTCAATTCCCAATGCACAACTTTTGTGTGTGTGTGAAACCTCTAGTCATCAACCTGGTTTTGAAGATTATACTACCGTCATCTATTACATTGTATTCTAGCTTTTAAATTCATTTGCAATCAATCAAAGTTTGATCATTTGGAAATTTACTAGCTCATAGATATTTTTATATATGAGAAATTTCATCTCACATTCTATAGCAATTTTTTATCCAAGCTAAATGCCAAAAACTTGAGCATATTTATTAAAAAAGTCTATTTTTTCTTTCATAAATAACATCATATCATCAATATAAATATCACAAACTTCAAAAATGAATGAATCAGCTTATAATACATAGATTTTATCAGCTCTATCAATCCAATTGAATGATATTCTAGAAGATCTATTCTTTCAAAAATAAAAATCAAAAATGTTTTTGATTTTTATTTTTTTATGAAGATAGTTGAGTCTCATCAGTGATTACATGCTACTTCAATTTTCAAGAAATTATTTCATGTGTACCACAGCTTCTCCTTGTGTCACATCATTAATCACATAATGATCTATTTCTCCCTCTTTTAATCATTTAAGCTCATAAAAGGAGCATTTATATTGACAAAAATTTTAGAGATTACTACATCATGTATACTACAATACTTGAAAACACTAGCATATAAACAAAAACAACATTTTTTGATATAGTATACAACTTGATATTAGGTATGAAACAATAAACCGTATAATAAAAAGTTCATAAATGACAATAATAAGTCATCTGTTTGGACCTTAGTTCAAATGATATAATGAAATTCATTGCACTAAAAGGAAATTTTTTTTATCAAATAGATATCAATACTGATCATTTTAGCCTAAAATTCATTTGATAAATTAAATTGGCTCAACAAATATATTGCATGACTTCTTCAACACTATTTGATTAAGACTTGCAATAATAGCATTTTATTGCGTAGTATATATGAGAGTACAAGTAATTTGTTACTACTTTTCAAAACTCATCAAATGTATAATTGTTGTCATTACTTGTACATAAATAGATCACTGTCTCGTGTGAATCTTAACTTGTATTTTTTAACTTATCAAAGTTGTAAATAACTTAGATTTGTGTTTGAAAAAATAAACTCGCACAAACATTGAATAATCATCAATAAAGTATACATATTACAACTTAACAAAAAGTGAGACTTTTGGAAAGTATTCTCACACATCACTGTATACATAATCAAGTTATTTCCTAAAACAATGAATTTCAACATCAAAGATTTGACTATGATGCTTCTCCACAAAACTTCAACTCAACTTTATCAATGCCAAATGACAAGCTTTTATCATCAAGAAATATTAAGGAATTATTTTTCATTTTTATTAATCTAGAATATTATACATGAGACATTTTAGTTCAAAATTTAGAAGAGTTGGTTTTACAATAGATGTAAATGTTCTTTAGAATGTATTGAGTATTGTGCTTGTGATATCTTAACAAAATTTTTATCACGTGTTTAACTTCAAAATTATATTTAAAAAAATTTATTTCAAATATTTTGTAACTAATATTTCTAAAAAACCAATTTTTTTCATATCAGGTATAAACTACCAAACATTTATATTTTAACAAGTTCAATATTTTCAATTCTACAAGGTTGATCATTCAAAAAAATGTGAATGTTTTGAAAAAAAAAAGTATAGAAGCAATACGTGATAAATATAACAATAAGAAGCACATTCTAGATTCATCATCAATAATCTTAAGAAAATTTACATAGTACATATTTCTTCTATCATGGTACATTGTTTAACAAGTCATAATTATAGATTTCAAACTCTTAAGCCACACTAGATAAAGGAAGATCAACAACACGAGAGTCTTTCTTGACGTGACCATACTTCTCACATTTCCACCACATTATTGTCTTACTTTCTAAAAATTTATATCGAAACTTAAATCTACCTTCAAATATAATTTGTTTGTTATTTCTGTCATTTTGTGAATATAAGTGATATCAAATTACATGCAATATCTTATCGTATGAAAATGTTATTAAATTCTTTTTTGTTGCAAATCATCAATCAACAAAATATTTACAATTTCATTATATATGATTGTATATTCATCGCAATGAGGCAATACATGTGATAATGATTGATGCAAAACAAATAATGAGCTTAAAAAATAAGTAGTTTTACTTTCATCACTTATATCTTTTCCAAAATTCTGAAGATGAATAAAAAAAATTACCAAATGCATCAATGCAACCTTGGATTTTTGTGTCGGATTCTTTCATCTTGAATCTCATTAGCTTCTAAAAGGCATACAATATGGTTGACAAATCTCTATACTGAGACCGTTGCTCAAGAGATTCAAACAAGAGAGTACAATCATATTCATCCACTTTTAGGTTGTATATGTGATATAACAACATTCACAACTTGCTCTTGAAGATTTTTTGAATCATTGTTATTATAAGTGAAAGATTTGGCTCATCTTCTCTAGACTCATAGATTTTAACTTTAAGATCAATTATCATAGAAAATGCACAAAAAAACATATGCATATGCTCTCAGACACAATACTGACATAAACGTGGTTTGCCTCGGCCGGAATATGTTCACAAAAATATGAGGTTTTAGTGAAAATCTAAAACATTGCCTGGGGCGAGTTATGTCTCATACTGCTATATAATATATAGCAAAAACTCCAAACCTAGTAAATATTCTAAGTTCAAATTAGTCAAACTAGAGTTAAAACCAGATTTGAATTATTACTAACATTTTTGCCACATTTCACATCTTACATGTAACTCCAACACCATTTGAACATTATGGCTCTAATATTACCATGTGATTATAAAGAAGTAGGGGTTCAATATAATAATTTTGAAACATTTCATTACAAGGAAGAAGAAAAAACAGTAAACAGGTTATAGCTTCAATAAATTCATGATAAAATACATAATTGGCTCTCCTAAGGACTAACCATAGTCTTTAAGAGAACATCTTTATAGAGTTTAATCCTCATAAAAATTAAACCAACTATCTCGATGAAATGTTGTAAAAACAACATGATCATATAGAGCATGAAAACCGATGTGGATCATTGACCATAACATCCACATTTTAACAACTTACATTGGTTTTACATGTACATTTGACCCTTTGGAAAACAACAAGATGTACCCACATCAATATGGGTTCATTAGTATGAAAACAAGTTGCATAGCCAATGGCATCAATTTTTGTCATGGGATATAGCTAGAGGGTATAACCCACATGTACTTGGCTACAAACATGTTACTTAAATCATTCAAAGTATACATAACATAAATCAAGCAATGTGTACCCAACATCCGTATTTGTGATCTGGATAATCTCGATTCTTGACCTCTCTCTGCATTTACATCCATAAACCCAACCATTAACGAGACGAACCCGATGAAATGCCTTTTTTTCTTACTCCTGCATCCTTTTTTTATGACTATCTAGAACAGCTGAAAATTTCAACCCTGTCAAAACTTTCTCGTCACCAATGACAATTCAGGGTGAAATCACAATGGATGTACCCTCGGCCTTTCTTATTATATTATCATTCATCGAGAGTATGTGATATGTAACTATCAAAAGTCCACTGCATACTTTTATCCTTCAAAATTCTTCTCCCATACTGCTACTTTTATCAATATCCAGGAATCACATCCTGGCTGGTTAGAATGCGAGAGGAAAGAATCATCCGAATGCATTCGGCGGAAAGCAGTCTCTTAAAGAATGAAATAATATAGAATCTATGAAGACCAAAACGGTGACACAAAATGACAAAGTTTTATAGAAGACAGACGACACTGTAGTCTTGTGGTCATGATATAGCAGGAGGACAAAGAATCGGAATCCTTTTCACTTACGAAATGTATATACGATTCAGCAACTTTTAGGAGAATTTCTTAAAGAATTGTTGGAAGCATCTTCGTCAGCATATGGATAAGTAATGAACAAAATATGTTGAGAAAACTAAAATTCTCAGCATGGACATGCACGAAGATACATATGCGATAAAGCGTTCGGCTCCAACAACCATATGATGAGTCGAAAGTCATACTGGAAATTGAAGCGACTTTTAGTCCGTCAGGAGGTGGTGTCCATTAGATTGAAGGTCAAGTTACAAGTCTCGTAAGAATGATGCCCCGAATCAGATATCGAAAACAAAAGTGACATGTGTGACTGCTTTATAGCCTAGGGAGGAAGGAAGGAAGGAAGGAAGGAAGGGAGGCAGAATTTTAAAAGTGTCATGGCTTTTGGAATCGAGAAGTTTGGAACGACTTCGATAAAAGAAAGCAAGCCTCGGGAAGCGGAGGAAGTGGCCCTCCTTTCGTTTGGGGAGGCAGGGCATTCTGCAATGTTCCAAATTTCAGAAGATCGAATGCCAGGTCAATGAGAGAGGCCACCAACACTCAACGAGAATACAAGGAAGCACGGGAGCTCCTTCTCCATCTCTGCCGGAGCTGCGAACCCGGGGAAGATTTTTCCCTCTCATGGGGCGGTCAGTCAAGGGAACGAGAGAACTTAAAGCCATACGACGCTTGATGGAGCACGAAACCCGATGGAGAGGCTGTCGTTTAGGTTACTGTGAGAAGGTGGTAACGGAACGGAGACCGAGGCAGCACGTTATCTTCTCGGAGAGGTGGCACGCAGACGGGCAACAGAGAGAAAAAGTGAGAGCATTCAAAGAGTGTTAAATATTTTGGAGACAAGGGGGAGCAGGACAGAGTATGATTGGGCAGAATTTCTCTAGCATTCTGCCCGCCTGTTTCTATTTTCTTAATCAGCAGCTCCCTTCTTCTTTTCCAGGCATGTACGTACTGTCCTCGTTCTTTCCTACAGGCTCCACAAATTCCAACACCCCGGCGGCGCACCTCCGAGCCCATTCGCTCGTTGTCGTTCTCCCACGTGTTGTGATGTCAGCTCCATTGTTTTTGTTCGTCAGCCGAACTCAGAGTTGTGCTACGATCGATAGACTAGCGCCCGCCATCGCGGATTCTCTTCCACATGAAGCTTTGGATAAGAAACCTTTAAGAAGTCTCGTTCCAAAGACTCGATGACAACGAGCTGAAATTTGGTGTGTGTTTGATTTATAATTCAGCCTCGTTGTCACAATACTTAGGCATTCCACGAAAGTACTATGCCCCATCCTCAACGGGAAAAGGCTTGGGTACGTTTTTGCATTTCTGGAGTTCGGTTTGATTTCCCAGCTGTGTTCCAACAGTCGACATCACTGATATATACATTTGTGCATATAATGATTTTTAAGCAGGTTTGCGCACATGAACTCCCAAAATTAACGACCAAGATATTATCCAGGCGTGAAGGTAAACCTTGTCGTTCAACACTCCCAATAGTTCAGCAAACTCCATGTAGCATGTGTTGTCGACTCTACCAGGAGTAGAAAGAGTATCAACTTTTCCTCGAAAGACTATGAAGTACGATAAGACACTAGATACTTGTCCCTAACGTCCTCAGCTTTTTCACCATCAATCGACTACATGTTATTTTTGTCATTGCTGCAAATATAGATATGAGAAAACTTTCTCAGAAGGAGGGACTTTGGCTCTAAAAGTACGAAGGCAATGAATAGAATTTACCTTAGAACTCGAAAAGATTAAGATAGGGGAAAACATGAACAAGGTGCTCTTCCAATTAAGACATATGATTGAGCTTCCTCAAGGTTAAGCACTATATTGTTCAAATTTGGACATTTTTTCGCATTGTGACCGTGAGCCAAAGTACAAGGTTGTTGTTTTCGGGGTGTAATGAGCTGTGATATGCTTTAAATACAAAACATGACATGTTTGTCACATACTTTGGCAAGCTTTCAAGATTTCTGTATTTCAACCGCTTGCTGCATACCTCCAGGCATGCGAGCATACCTTGGGCCCTTCCTAAAGAATGACCTGCAGTGATCAAAGTTTCCCCACCTCTTATATGATGGGCACGAGAATGAGTCCATGTAATCCTGCTTTGACTGTAGTAATAGTTTTCATCTGCTCTTCCTAGCACTTCTATTTTATCGCCTACCTATTAAAGGAAAAAACTCTGACTTAAACTGTCGGATACACAATCTCAGCAAATAATTGGGCAGCTTCAATGCCTAATAGTAAGCATTATTGTTTTTTTTCTTGGCAAACATACTTTCTGGATCTATCTTTTCCCAGGAGGAGCAAAATTCTCTCGGACGAACAATGCTTCCCATACAAGATCAGCATGAAGTACCTTAGTTATCATATCTGAAACCGCACAGGTAGAGGTAAGTAATTTCTCTCAGAATTCGAGCTATTGTGGGTTTCAGGTAAGTTCATTCCCATATGCACTTGCTAAGAAGGATGGGGTTGAAAAGCTTCATCCAAGGCAAGAAACTGTGTATGCATATTCCGACCAGCACAGTTTTTGTAGTTGGATTTAGGGTTTTCCGGATACGCTTAACCGCTGTAATATGACTCCCATCAGAAAGAGTCCGCACAAAGATGAGCCCAAGTGAACAAATACTAAGTATTTTTAAGTCTGACAACTCGCCACATTCCCAGGGATGAGTTTTCATTTTTTTCGATTATTGGCATACTACAAGATTGTCAAGGAAAGGGAAAGAAAAAATAAAAAGATATAGAAATTTCCTATCTTAGTTTTGAGTAACTATATCAAACGTCCTATTTTCTGAAATATAGATAGGATTTTTTTTGTTTCAAATATAAATTTTTTAAAGCCTTGTTAATTATGAAGGTTAAGAGTTATGCCACTTTGTAAAGATATATAATCGCGACAAAGATAAAAAAGTTCACTCCAAACAAGATAACGAATGATAGATGATCTACCATTGATCTCATTAGCTAAAAAATGTTGCAATTTGATTTGGATTTTAAGTTATTTAAAAAAATAAAAATCAGAGTGAACATGAAATTGAATGTGCTTTAAGTTGGTACTACTGTGTACTATTTAAAAGCATCATCCACCATCTCTTTTTCATATTTTTCTGCAACATATTGATGTTAGACAAGCACGATTGATATAGCCCTGGAGTCATTCTATCATAAGAACATTGACTTAAAACCCTCGAAGTCATATGATAACTACATACATCGATTCACACTTGCATAAATTGACAATAAACTTCTAATGAAATTGGTTTTTAGAAAAACATAGCTATTGATCTTCATTCCGAAAAGTTGTAGTTCATAACATCATTGATTGATCTTATAGTAATACATAATGCAACATCGTTCAAATACTCAGCTAAACAATCAACACTTTAAAATGATTGTTTCTGTTTACTTACAATTTTTCTATGATCTTTTGATGTAACTAGCCAGATAACTAATGGAAATATAGAATCCTAGGAAAAAACTAGTATCATTTTTCATTCTGTCAGCAAATTTAGTCATAATCCAATACTTTTACATTTAGAATATTGAGCGTAAAAATAAAAAAATAAAAAATAAAAATCCTATGCTATATATATAATTATTCATTTGTAACAATTGGTGATATCAATCATGAAGTTGATATTAGTTAAGTATTATTATGTTATTTTTATAATATTATGAAAAAAAAAATCCCAGACAGACACATTTTATGTAAATATGCATACATTTATTCCAGATAATTTTTTTTAAATTTTTTTGGGTAAATTATAAATATAATTAATATTAATATGAAAAGAAATGTCCATATTCATGATAATCTCAAAGTATGTCAATCTATGTTATTTGAATGTGATGCAATTATTATACTGCATATAAATCCATATTTTCATTTCTTGATTTTGTCAACACCATGAATGAAAAGAAAAGATGTTTAATGGGAGTATGCTTGTTGTCTTCACATACAATTCAACATGACAAGAAACTCGCCCGTTTCAGACAGTAATACGTTTGGAAAAATGATATGTGGACAGTTAATCATGTCAAACATACTCATTTTTACAATGTACCTGCATCATTTTTTATTTAAGACCAAGCACTAATCTTTGTATTAACTCTGTGGATATACGAAGGAGCATGGTCAAAGGTCACATCCCATGTCTTGTGACAGTACTCCTCTGGACTTTAAATTTGTTTGTGATACACCGTTGTCCTTTCGATCTTGTGATACTGTCGAACTGGGTATCATGGTATCTATTAATTTTGCACACCCTGTTCAAACTTCCATATCATAACAGGTGAAGAATGGGAATGGGATCCGAACAGACCTTAAAACAGATACTTTAGTACCTCACCACTTAAACGAGAAAACCTTCAATCATAGAAAATAGAATTTCATTATCCAAAATAGTGAAGTTCTTGTACACACGAATGGATTCGCCGATACATTGCCCGAGGGAAAAAAGTAGTGCCACCGACTTCTGTGAACCAGCGGTAAGAGGACATAGCCGTCAAGGACATCATTAATGGCTTGCAACATAGCATGACATAGCATTTTTCTCTGGCATGGTATACACAGTACCGTACTTCACATCCTCTATCCTCTGAAGGAACGAAATTGAACGTATCCTTGTACGTACTTCGAAATGTGGTATCGAAGCGCCATACGCAGAAACTATGAATACAGGTTGTGTTCCATAGACAAAAGCAAGACAGGTGTTGTCTAAAGCAGACGCTTAGTCTGCTTTAGCGTCGTGCTTGAAAATCTTTATCTGGCAGGACATTCATAGATTGGTCCTTGAATCTAGGGTTTCCCTATCGCCCTACATGAACCGAGATCAATATCTGGTATGACAAACCCGGGTCCTACTGTGAAATAAGTGATCAATGACCTCGCAATCGTCCGTCGCTCAGATGCAGTCTCTCAGCAATATGAGAAGCAAGTGGATGATGTGGTTGTCCACGATATACGGATTCTCATCGTTTCCCGGTTGAGAATCGCAATAATGAGCTTCTCAATGTTGATACTAAATTACGACTAAAACAAATTCAGCTAGAGGAAAGAACGGCCCATGATCAATTATGTTCTACGTTCTTTTAGAAGTCATGACAATGTTGGCATCTCCTAAGGTGATTATTGTTCACTTTCTGTGCTAGAATTAATATTCAGAGTGTGGATTGCTCTTTCCTAACATATCACTGATTGTATCATTAATTGGGATATAAAGATAAAATGATAGAAGAGGGTACAATAAGATTGTTGTCTTTGAATTCTTCAGACAATCCAGCACGGACGGCTATGGCTCCAGGACCAGATACAATTCCATCAATTAGCTAGAGGAGTGCATAAAATCTAACCTATATGATATGTATAGGTTATATGTATATGTATAATATTTTTTAGCACCTCCCGTGATTCTCCTCTGATGCAATATGCAACTATGTTCCCCTCATTCCACCCGCATTAGAGCTGGCCTGAGTTGTATTACATGCATTTGCATTTGAGTTCCAATCATAGCAGACCCATGCTAATCTAATATGTACCTTATTAAGGCCACTTTGTTGGGGTAGAGCGACTAGCTTCATTTGCTTAACTATTTCTGTTCAATTTCAATTTTTTATCAATGCTTTGTTCTTGTTTTCTCGATATGATTATTTCATGTAATCGAATATCACGTTGACACATGGGTTAAATAAATTTATATATCTGGATCAAAACAAAAAGGACTAGAACTGGTAGTTGATGTGAGTCAAAGCAATAATGTATGATTTAGCCAATATCGAAATTCATGAAGGTTTAAGGAGTACAAGATTAAATAAACCCTAAGCGCTAGAATTTTCTAGTGACAATACAAGGTTCATGTCTCCATCGCTACATATCTTGATGAGTTGGTTCACATTACTTGGGCTATAGACTAACATATTGCTAGACATTAGATTTAATGTATCTTCGACCAAAAAGTATATGATATATACCTTGAAAGTCTTCACTTTCAAGGTATGTATCATATACTTTTTGGTATATATCTTCCCCTGGTAAACGGAGTGATCTCTCAACAAGTCCGCTTGAGAAGATTTTTTCTTCTCATTGAAGGGATACTTAGAATTTCGATATCGCTCCCAGTTAGTCAAGTGCTCAATCGATGCAGACTGATTGAAGTTCAATATTTCCTGAAGGGGCAACAAATAACTTATAAAATCTCAGATTATTTGCCTCGCTGATGCATGCAGTCATATGGCACATACTGACACTATGTCTGTTCCCTTATGTAGACTCATAGGAAAGTAGGATCTGAGTACATATCGCCAATAGATTATTTGATTCCCTTCAAATCAATTATATTTTAATGGAAACAAAGGGAAAGTACGAGGGGAATTGAGAAGGAGGGTCTAGTCCTGAGCCGATGGTTGAGTGTGTAACTTTGCTGCTGTTGCTGCCACTGCAGCTTCGTGTCGGGAAATGTTTAGGCCGCACTCAACTCTGGACGGGATGGAAGACACCTTTTTCAACAACGAATCACAGCAACTGTTCAGCAGTGGAGTAGAAAATTATTATTTATCGTCTCGGAAAGTGGTTAAGCTGATACAGTGCGTAGTAGGGAAGTGTAGTGTTTATTGATGATGGATGCTTTTTCGTTGTTTTTGTAGGCCAAACTACTGCCATTTCATTTCCATCAATAAATG